GTCCACCCACCGGCTACCCCTCCACCACACACAGGAATACCCACGGGGGATATGTGGTGAAATATCCTAGGATCAAATATGTAATGCCATATACTGCTAGAGCCAATTAGTACAGATATTTTAATGTGTTTGGTTTTCACTGCTATTTTAAAAAATAAGAAGCCATTATTTATTCTGGTTTTTAAAACTACAAAGGTATTAATCATTAACAAGATATAAATAAACAGAGTTTACCACTTTCAATCTACTGACTCAGTCACATCTCACTGGCTACGAGATTCTTGTCATGCCTCCAAAGAAAAGTTTATGTTGAAAAAACTTTGTTCTTCAGTCATTATAAGGTATTATAAATGAAAATCTTTGGTAGTTGGTATTTTAAATTATTTTAAAGGAAAAGGATGAAATGACATATGAGAATCCCAAGGAAATAACAAGAAAAATAATGCAAAGTCACATGGAAAGACAGTTTATAGGACTCACCGCCATGCCCCACGACCTCGTCAAGTCTACGGCATGCGTGTTTTAAGGCCTCTCTGGGTGGCTCCCTGTGAGGACAAGACCTTCTTGGTGAGCTCCTTAACAGCTGGCAGAGGACATGGACTGTCCTTGTCTGCCTGTGCCAGGCCTCAGTCTGCTCACTAGTCTTCGCTCCCCTGGGGAACCTGCTGTTTCCTAGGACACTGCCGCATAACTCCTTGCTGCACTTCTTTACTCTAAGAAATGCTTTGTTTTGGGGTGGCGGGGGTAACCGGGAATTGAACTTGGGGCACTCAACCACTGAGCCACATCCCCAGCCCTATTTTGTATTTTATTTAGAAACAGGGTCTCACTGAGTTGCTTAGTGTCTCACTTTTACTGAGGCTGGCTTTGAACTCCTGACCCTCCTGTGTCAGCCTTCAGAGCCGCTGGAATTACAGGCCTGCACCACCGTGCCCAGCTCTAAGAGATTCTTAAAACATAAAAAGTACTTGATTTAGTTTTTGGAAGTTTAAGTTCAAACCTACACTCTACTTGTCACCTTGAGGAAATTATCTGACTCTCTGATTCTCAGGATTCCCATGTATCTAGTAGCTTCATGTTCCCTTGCAAACCCACCTATTAAAAGTAATATCTCTACTAACAAGTATCTAATATCTCTACTAACAAGTATCTATCTATTTCCCGTCTGCTTACTGATTTACAACAAAAAGCACTAAGCAAATCTGGTGTAGAGAACTGTCTGTTCTTTTTTCCCCAGGTGGGTCTTCCTACAGAGAGATATATTCTGATTTGTTCTCCACTGTGATAATTTTACTAGGACAGGTTCTACCCGTACAAAGGGAAAGCCTACATTTAGAGATAAACTCAAAATATAAACTCCATTTGACTATATATCCAAGCCACATTCTCTGGCCCAGCATCAAAGAGGCTGGCTGAATATATTCTTTTTCTTCTGTTTATTTAATTGGTTTAACCAATATTTAGTTAGTAGCTAGAATAAGAAAGCCGTGATGGGACTGGGGCTATAGCTTAAAGGTAGAACACACGCTTAGCATGCTTGAGGCCCTGGGCTCAATCCCCATTATAAAAAAGACAAAGAGAAGAAAAAGAATACATCATGGTATGAACACAGTCATTCTCTCATGGTGAACAACAGAGTCAACAAGCTAAAGTAGTATTCTACATACAGAATTATTAGCATTGTCATATCCTGTAGAACCTTGCATAACTTAACTCATACATTCAACTATACCGTAGGCAAGAGGTAAATAATAAAGGTACCTACTCCATACATCTTCTGTGTCATCATAAGGCTGTTAAGCATGCTATCAACACAACATCATAGAAGTGTTCTCCTATGTCTGAAAATGTTGTCCTCAATATTAACCAGATTTTCCAAGGACAGATTAGCAAATATGATTGATTTAGTCATATAGGTACTGTCCATTGATTATTATCTGAACTATTTGTGAGGGGAGAAGACCAAAAATTTAGTTAAAAATTTTTCCTAGCTTTAAGATACAGTGGAAATCAAAGCTGGTCAATTTGGTCTAAAGTAAAAGCCTAATGATTTGATTATTAGGATTGATATCAATCCACATTCTCTGTGAAATAAACATGAACACAGTGAGTAGGTTAGTAGTATTTATAATAGGGAGAATATAACTGGGTATGTTCAGCTTACCTATTTAATTTTGAAATAATTTGAAGGGAGAGATACATAAAGATAAAGCAGACATGGCATTTGGTATGTAATTTACTTGACACTTTCCATTAATTCATTACAGAGACGTTTTCGTCCAGATCTTCATTTCTTTTTTTTTTTTAATCCTTCAGTTAACTGCAGTATTAAACTTTAAGCAGAGGCAAGAAAATGACATCCTTTGTGGGTTCAGTGTTTAAAATGTTCTCTGAAGCCAATCAGAGATCCATACACTTCTACAAAGGTAAGTGACTTGAGAGAGCTTCTAATTTTCTGTGGTTTTCAACTGCATCCCGTCAGATGAAATGCTGGTCAGTGAAATGTGGGAAAAGTGGGTCATAAAATAGAAACAGAAGGATTTGACTAGAGGATACCACAAAGATGCCAGATGTATTTGAGGAAAAACAAATCTCATTTAACTAAAAGCACATGTGTCATTACTGGTGTCTGTTTCTCAACCACATGCCCAATAGGCCTGTGTTTAAGTAACCAATTTAAATACGTGGTATCCATTGTCTTTCATGTGTGTGTGAAGACTGTGTTTTGTTTTGATTTGTTTTCCATCCCACTGCAGAAAACCTAGAAAGTCAAGGACACAGACAAGCTGTTTTTTAAGAGCAATGCACAATTTAAAACTGTATAGGACATCACAGGGTGCTGCTGCTGGCCTTTGTTCTGAATAAATAGATCTTATGTCCCTGCCTAACTCTCTCACTGGAATCTGCTACTTCACAGATTGGTGGTTCTTCTCCATTGCACCAAGAAACCCTCCTTGAACAGCCATCATTTATCTATTAGCTGAGAAGGTATGCAACAAATGTTGGCCTAATTCATTATTACACTGTGTGCCTTGGAATATGGCTATTTTGATGATAAAAGGCTGATCAATTATGTGCTTCCCCTCAGAGCATTACTCTCCAGTATATATAAATAACTCAAAAAAAAAAAAACAACTAACACCAAAAAATACAAATAACCCAATCAATAAACAGGGTAAGGAACTGAACAGACACTTCACAGAAGAAGAAATACAATCGGTCAACAAATACATGAAAAAAATGTTCAACAACTCTAGATGAAATTAGAGAAATGCAAATTCAAACAAAACTGAGATTCCATCTCACTCCAGTCAGAATGCCATTTACCAAGAATATAAGCAACTATAAATGTTGACAAGGATCAGGGGGAAAAGATTCATTCATACATTTCTGGTGGCACTATAAATTGGTGCAGCCACTCTGGAAAGCAGTATGCAGATTCCTCAGAAAACTTTGAATGGAACCACCATTTGACCCTGTTATTCCACTTCTTCATTTATACCCAAAGAACTTAAAATCATTATACTATAGTAATGCTGCCACATCAATGTTTATAGCACCTCAATTCACAATAGCAAAGCTATGGTACCAACTTAGATGTCTTCCAACAGATAAATGGGTAAAAAAACAATGTGGTATATATGCACAATGGAATATTACTTAGCCATAAAAAAGAATGAAATTATGGTATTTTCAAGTAAATGAATGGAACTGGAGATTACCACGCTAAGTAAAATAAGCCAGTCCCCCCCCAAAAAAAAGGCTGAATGTTCTCTCTGATATGCAGATGCTAACACACAATAAGGGATGGGGAAAAGAAGAATAGAGTACTTTGGATTAGACAAAGGGGCATAAAGGGAATGGAGGAAAAATGGGAATGGGAAAGACAGTAGAATTAATCTCATATAACTTTCCTATTTTCACAACCAGTATAACTCCACATCATGTACAACCACAAGAATGGGAAGTTATATTCAATGTATGTATAATATGCCAAAATACATTCTACTGTCATGTATAACTAAAAATAAAAAATTTTAAAAAATTTAAAAATATGTGTTTCTAAAGAAATGCCCACCACCCTTACTAGACAGACCATGTGGCATTCATAGAAATAGCAATTTCTATCTGTCCCCCTAAGAGAGTCTTTTCTCAAGACAATCATTTTTAAAACAATATTCAGACTAGGCATTCCTCACTTTGTAAGTTTTTTTTATTTAACACTTCTTTTTATAGGGTGCTGCATAACTTTCTTAGTCCCAAAGCATCTGCATCTGATACTTAACCACTTACATCAAAACATACCTAAAGACTAACAAGGTAAAATCATGACAATGGAATCAGTGAATTCTACAAAAGATATAATTAAAGAATTCGCAACATTTGCATTATCTACATACTTATAACAACAAGAACAAAGAGTTATATAAAATACAAGGAATGTTAACAATTGACATAACAAATTATACAATTGACAGGATTTATTTACATTAAAATGTGTTTACCCCAACTTTTATGTCCATATCTAAAAAAGAGAATGAATCCAGAGAATATAGTATTTAAGATGTAAATATAATGATAATAACAATAGCTAACACTTATGTAGCACTTAGGATGTGCCAAATTCTGTTCTAAGCACTTAACAGAAATTAACACAGTTCTCACAATTGCACTGTGAAGAAGATGCCATCTATGGTCTCATTTTACAGATGAAGTCACTGATGTTTGAGCAAATTTTAATTAGTAAGCATCAGGACTAGGACTTGAACCTAGATATGCTAGGGTCTACAGTCTGTGCTCATAACAAGGAAGAGGCAAGAATAAGCCTGGAAAGCATGTGTCCAATAGGAGCCATTTGACATATTACAACCTCACTCAATAGTATTGGACAAAATTAAATCAAAGGGGCCATTAAAGGTACTTTTACATGAAGATACACCAGTTCCACAAACAGCATGACTTCGAGTATCTCGAAGAAAATGCACACTGAGGGTACTCACAGAGTAGCTCTATTGGCTCAGAGTCTTAGAGTTCTTGGTTTCCCACAATTTCTTGATCTACGTCTTCACAAAAAAAGAGCATCACATCTTAAGACTAACTCCTAGAAGAATCAAAGAACAGAGCAACCACCTAAATATTTGATGCATGTTTTAAAAAATAAAAAAGGTATCCAATTCCAAATCTAAAAGATTCCCCAGAATGTAGTTTTATACTTTCTATTGCAATGGAAAATAGCTGAAATTGCTATTTGCCTTCTCTAAAATTCTAAGGTTATATTTAAAGTCCTATTCAGATATATATGGATTATTTAATTAAATTAATTAAACCAATAACCCTGTGTGACAATCATAGTGTTTGTGCCTGCCCTCATATTTTCTGTCCTAAGTAAAATTTCTGCAAATATAGAGGATTTCCTGCAAAAACAAAGCTCCCTCTACTTTGGGTGGGATAATGTGTATGAGAGAGAGAAGAGAGGAAGAGGTAGAGAGTTTGTAAAGTAATAACATGAGATTTTTATATAAAAATATTAAAACTATTTACATCAAAAAATTTTTAAGTATAACTTTAGTAACTAATGTACTAGAAATACTATAAAAT